AATTGACGTCTATAGACGTCAATGGCAGTCAACGTAAGTTTTTCAATTGACGTCTATAGACGTCAATGGCAGTGAATGAGTTAAGTCAGATTAAGAAAAATAAATTGTCATTGTTCAGATTTGATATCCAGCTCACACACTGAAAAATTAGGAGCGGTATCAGTATCAATGTATTCTACATCCAAAAACACTGAACTCAGGAAGTTAATCCTCACCAGCAAGAGTTTTTACGTATTCTAGTTCTGGATGTCAGACTCTGTAGTTTTCTCTGGTCCCCTCCTCATGTTTAACTGCATTCTCTCCTTAAATTGCTGTCTGTCTGAGTGGTGTCCAGAAAACGATGTGGGCTTTATAATTAATTGGGAAACTTTCTGAAGGATACCTGGTCTTATTAGGAGAGACTGCATCCATCCCACTCTGAATGGAGCAGCACATTCATTGAAATATGGCCAAATCGGCTGGTCGTGCACCTCTCCGGTGAGCGAAGCAACCATTGCGGCGGGTATACTGGGGCCTTAAATCAGCAAGGGGTGTGTGTGTGTGTGTGTGTGTGTGTGTGTTTGGTCAAGCAGCAGGATTGTTTCTTTGTTTGATGACACTCTATTTGCTCTAGACTGTTGCAGCCTCTCAAGCAGTTGCTTAGTTGTCCTTCTCCCTGGTAATATAGTTTTTGAAGAAGTACTAGCAACTTAATGCATCTCATGAGAGCGAAAAGCGTGGCTTACAGCTTTCCACAAGCATCTGCTCCCAGATTTACAGACAAACGCACTTAATGAGTGTGTCTTGATCAGACAATGGAGTAGGAAGGTAATCTCTCACGAGTGGCAGTTGTTGCCTTCTTGCTCACACAGGGAGGAGGCTCACCGCTTTGGGTGGAAGCTTGGAGAGCCGTTTCTTCACACCACCTTTATTAGCTTGCCGTGTGAAAGATTTGGGACCTGCTTCCTGGAGGAGTGTGTGTCAACTGTGTTCCTCCATTACAAACATGTGGCGAGAAATCCCACAGCCTTTGTACCTCAGGCGCTGTGTATATGCTAAAGCTGAAGAGAAGGATGTCACATCACTCTGTGGAGATATAAGAACATGTGATATCTCTGTGAATGTCAGACTGAACTGATCTGCTCCTTTGAAATTCACCTCCACTCACTTATGGAATATTTCCATAAGTTACTGATAAGACCTTAACTGGTTTCAGGGTGGCTGTTTTTCGTTTGTTGTATCTGTCACCTTTAGGAATGTGCTTGGCTGTTGTTGGTGTGTCGATAAACCTACTTGAACCCTTGCTGGAACTATTTAAGCATCACGTGTGAGAAGTAAAGATCGTTAGGTTTGGCATCACTAATTAGAATTTGCTCAGGAAATGTAAATTTAAACAGTTTATATTCCAGTTGTAAATAGACTTAAGTGGATAGATTGTAACATTAAGGCTACAAAAAGACTTTTATTAAAGCTGTTGTACTTTTGACATGTTTAATGCTCTGTATCTTGTTCTATTTAATCTGAACAAGCCCCTAAAAACAGTCAGTGATCACTGTCGCCCTCTCTCGGTTTTTATTACCACTGTTCATTTTAAAGCTCAGTTTTTACCCTTGGGCAACTACAGCCCAGCCCTCGCAGCAGTATGTTAACCTCCTAAGACCCAAACTCTTTCATGGCATGCATTTTTAATTTTTCTCTGCTATTTGGGTTGATTGGGACCCGATGAATGTAAAAACAAAGAATTACCAGATTTTTATTTTGTTTTTGTTTTTTTACCTGATTTTTGTTTCTGACAAAAACAAGATCCACATTTCCTCGGAGGGGGCTTTCTGCACCGGGGCTGTGCTGCTGGGGCTCTGTGGGACTTCTCAGCCTGGCTGGGGGCCTTCTTTGCCTCCCTCCTGCTGTGTGCCTAGCCTGGAGGCTGCGGTCTGTGACCGGCTCCCGGTGCAGATGGCTCCCTGTGATAGTGTTTCCTCACCTGGCTCATGTGTGCCCAGCCCAATTTTACTCT